CATGGTGCTTAGTTGCTGGCTGGGGCTAAACCATGACACCTGCTCAAGTATCTTTGCAATTTGTAGGAGTTTTCCCTTCAGTCTCCCTTTTTGCCTTTCTAGAAAACAAAGATCTGTGACTATTCAACACAGCCAGCTAAGAGGGGAAAAACCAATATTACTAAATCTCATTTTGATTGCGTTCAGCATTTAACTTGCACTTCTTCTTTCTGTTAAACCCTAAACAGGGGATTGCTCTCATAACTGAGAGCAATGAGTAATGCTATTCAAGACTGTATACTATCAAAGCCATATGCAAAAATCCTGTAGGCATACAGCCGTACTGAGACAGAACACCAACTGGGAGAGAACTGCAACTCTGCTTCAGTAATGGTGGCAAAAGATCCTGCTGCACTGGAGTCTACTTAGCTAAGAAATATGTGGTTTTAGGCAGTGAAACAAGGCTTGTACTATAAAGGGCTTCAACAGAACTCATCTGAAACTAGGGGGTAATAATTTGAAGCCAGCTGCTGAATATAGCAAGACAGAGCAATCCTGCTGTTGTAGATCCTGCAAACTTGTAGGATACTAGGATGCTAGGATGCTCCACTGTAAGTGCACTATTGACAGGGTGTCTTAATGTGGCTAAACCTAAAATGCAGGATTGTAACCTTGGCTGAACCTGTTTCTGGCAGCAATTACTTCAGAGATCAGCAATACCAGCATCAAAAGTTTACTAACCAGTATTAAAGGGCAAATGGAACTGGTTTGCCATCTGGCAGAGTCTTACTAATTAATAAACTCCGTTAAAATCTGTAACTACTGTGTGAACGCACAATGCAGATACAGAAGCTGAGTCTGGCTGCTGCCACCTAGAGGAGGCTCACAATAACGCTTGCTTGTGGGAAGGTTGGTTGGCTGGTTTAAGATGGATGATTGCTTTATGACTTATACTTTGTTGTAGGTTAGTCTTCCCTGTCAAACACAAAAAAGGCTCTGTTCTAGGGTGCAGAAAGAACCTACTTATAGTGGGAGCAGAGGCAAAAAAAAAAAATTAAGGTTCAAAGCCCTGCTCTGTCTTAAATAGGACAGCTTGGTTATCTGATGCTTTTGCTTCAAGCAATTGCCTCATTAGAGACTTCCTCGCTATTAGGATTCATTTGCCTCAGATTTTTCTGGTTGCAAGTTCCACTTTATTGGATCCAAGGTACCTGTAGAAACAACTTCACAACCTGAGGATGGAACTGCTAGTCTAAATGAGAGGTCTGAGGCAATAACCACATCTTTGTTAACTTCATTCAGGTCTTACCCATCATTCCAGAGACACAGGAGGTGTTTCTTAATAAGCTCCAGGATTCCCTCAATCCATAGCCAAAAGGGGAAATTCTTATCATTTATATTTTCCTGAAATTCAGAATATGGAAAGGCAGGGTGTGGGAGGGGAGAACAGGGATAATGAAACATGAGTTTTGTTAAGTGGAGAGGAAGCAAGCTCTCAATCCTGCCAGCATCTACTTGTTCTTGCGTTTTTCTCCCCTTTTTCTTCTTTCCCACCATCACTGTATTCTCTTATTTCTTCCCCTTTCTGGTTCTCTGCTCCAGAAGAACGGAAACAATTGAGAATTAAGCATGTACTGAATCTTAAGGCAAGAGGCAGTGTCAGAGAAATGCCTCCCTGAGCCTACAGTACCCACAAACATGTGACCCAGTGCCTCTCATGCAACAACACTGGTCTAACAGCAGAAAAAAGGCTCTGGTTCCTGCCTGGGCATTGTCCTTATTGGAGCTCTTGGACATCCAAACCATCCCATGGGGCTTTCCACCAGGCTGGCTAGCAGGACAGCTTAGAGATGCCTTCTGTTCAGACTTGGATTTCAATTCCTTGTGAGACACTCATATTAATGAACTTGAGTGCTTGTAGGTCACCAGAGCTTTGCTCTTCCCCTGGAGTCTGCTCCTCTCTGCTGTCATCTCCTGCTTATCTATACCAGTTTAGTGTCTAAAGCCAAAGAAAGTGTGAAGAGTCCTCCTGTCTTGCTGCAGACAGGGTTATGAAATCTCATGATGTGGCTGTCTGCTATCATGCTGACCCTCTTGGCTACCCTGTGCTAATCCTCACCCTAATCCAGTTGCCCCTGTTCTGGGCAATATCCTTCACTATGACAGACTAATTGCTCATCTTACTGTTTTTTTTGACACTTTCTGTAATAGTTAAAATGGAGAACTATTTTATTAATAGCAATTACATTAATAATGATGAAGACGCTGTGTTGGAAAGATGCATTTTTCTATACAGTTTACATGGCTCAGAAGCAATCTCATAATCATCTACCCCTTGCTATTACAAGCCCTTTTTCCTCCTCCTGTTGCTACTTAACCTCACCACCAAAACTTCCCACAACTGTGTAAGCTCTAGAATAATTAGGGTATACTATTGAAAAAGAAAGCACCCTGGGAAAGAAAAACCAAACACCACCCAAAAACCAAAACAAGACAAAATGCCCCCTTCCATCTCAATTTTTAAACTGAGTTCATACCTTGCAGAATCTTGTCCAAGGAATAAGGCCATCATGAGATCCTCCACCTGTTGGCCCTAAACAGAATAAATTGACTTCAGTCATGTTCCGTAAGTTACTTGGTAAGACTGAAAGGAAAGTACTTACAGCACCAAGTTCTGAGTGTTTATTTACAACTCTGAGCTGTTGGACTTGGAGGAGGAATGTGAGGCTACGGTATTTTCATGGCTAGTGCAGGGACAGCTCACAGAGCTCCCCTCTGGAGAAGTTCACTGTGTGAGAATGATGAAATGTATATAAATAGACTGTGTGTAATGAGAATGAATTCATTCTGATGCTTTTTATGCTGTACTACACCTAACACTTGCCAGTTTCAAAATCCTTCCAGGAAGGAGACTGAAGTCTGGCATATCTCTTCTCCAGCAAAACAAGAAAACTGAAACCCATAAGCTTTTCTGTAGGAGCTCAGCAGACCCTGCATCATCTTTCTGAGATGAAGCACTTGCCTGCCTCAATTCTGGTGACTCGTAGGCTTTTGCCCCAGAAACTCTTGGCTGTCCCAACCACAGACTCGCTCATTCCTGTGGCAATCACTTTTCCCCTGCCTTGTTTTCATGTCAACGGTATTTCATAACCACATCAAAACCACAAAGAAAATCTTATCCTGTGACTACAGTAGCCAGAGCTTTGTAGACCCTGACTGTATTCAGAGCCAAATTCTTTCCATACAGATCATGCTATGGATTTCAATAGTCAGAAATAGGCTGCTTTTCCCTTATCTCTCTAAAAATAAATTGGGTTAGGGAGCTTGTTTCTGCTGCTGCTAGTGTTAGAGACCAAGATTCTGTCAACTTTCACATCACAAAAGCAGCAGCTGAGTTGTATCCTGGCATCCTGTTAGATTCTGTGTCCCCTTGTATTAAGGGATCCTGAATGCATAGTGTTTCAGCTACCTGGATTCTTTCAGTAGTGAAATGCTTCTAGCTGTAGAGGCAAGATTTAAATAGCATCCCTACTCTTATCAGAGCTTGACAAGAATTTCTTGAAGTTCTGAAATGCAAGTTGACCATAGAAATACGTCAGTGGTCACTTTGTCTTCATGATGGTTAATTAGACTAATAAAAATTTATTCTCCTTGCAGAAATCTGAAAAGTAATCTATTAAATCAGTAAGCTTTTTGTCAGATCTTATGTCTTGGGGAAATTAGAGGAAGGGAATTGGAGACTGGAATGCTGTACTTACTTACCACCTAGACCCACTAATGTCAGAAACCCTTTAAATACAAGTGCCTCCTGAAACTTAAGGATTAGTGGAATATACTGAATCAACAGTATTTTTATCTAGAGTCTACTATGCAAACTCAGTAGCCGTGTCAAGTGCCCTGCCTATCGGGCAAACACACAAGGAGTTTGGAAAATGAAACTTATGGCTGATTAGTGAAAGCCTAAGGACTCTCATCTGGGAGATGTTCAATTTGATATCCTTTAACAGTTTCATCATGTTTGTACTTTGATATTGCAACTGTGTTTATGCAGATAGAGTGAACCCCCACTGTAGTTGGTGGCATGCATGAAGTTAAAATTGATGGAGATGGATTTAAAAAAACAAAACAAAAAATCCTAAACAACCCCCAAAAATGCCAAGAAACGGCCATCTCAAAGATTGACTAAACATGTGCATAACTTCAGTAGCTCTTCAGAGGACAGAAGGAGCCCCAATCTGTGCTGCCCTAATGCATACAACTCCTAAGTTAGAACTGCAGGTTTTTTTCCATGACCTGACATTCATTTGCAAACTCCACCCTACTAAAAAACAGAAAACACTTAATTGCTATAAAGTGATACTGTATGAGGGGGGCGGGGGGGGGGGGAAGGGGGTGAGAGGAAATGAAAACTTAAAATAGATTGCAAAAAAGATGTAGAATTAGCTTCAATTCAAACAGGCCATCTACTTGTTCAGTACCAAAAGTGTTAAAGTAATGGAAGCAGACCATACCAAGTAGCTTCTCTCCCAGCATGCTCAGTTGATCTGCATTAAGTCCTCTCTTTGTTACAGAAGAAAACTGCCAACTCAGAACTTCAGAAAGTTTAGACCACTTTGCATAAGGTGGATTCAGAAAGAAGGACAAGTTCTAAAATGGAAGGGAAAAATACAATCTACAGTTAATAAACATTAATTTTGGAATACCACTTGAATTTACAAAAGTGTATTGCCAAAACAGAATGCAGATTTAAGAATCAAAGTCAGCTTGAGACAACTGTGGAATAGCAGGCTGCTATTCTGACAGGTATTCTTTACCAGGAAAAGCAATCTCTGGGACTTTGGTCTTCTCCCATTGAGTAGAATTCCTAGATTACTCAAGTGCACTGTATTTGTATTCTTGAATGTTTGTTTGGCTTCTCACTGTGTACTGTATATACCGAATACAATGTATAATATCCTTATGTGGGTTTGAAACATTGCTCTGTTTAGGATGGGGAAGTAAGTCACTGTGCCTCTACACCTGAAAGCCATTAAGTCATCTCCCTCAGGAAAAAAAGCAGCAGCCACTTGTATACAGACAATGCTTGAAAATTACATATAGTATTTCTGATACTTTTTTTGCAAATACCTTGGGATCAGTAGACAGCATGTTGAACCATAAGATAGAAGCCCATCCACTTGGAAGCTGGCTCACGTTTGAGATCACAACAATGGGAAGGGATGTGGTCTGAAAGGAACACAGAAGGAAATGTATCAGACTATCCTGTACCCCTGCTGCAGTCCTCCTCTACCCACAAACATGTTTCCATTGTAATTCCTTGCTTTTGTGGTCTTAACTCTTTCACTTGAAGTTTATATGTAGGGGAGAAAGGGTCAGTATGATGAAGTACTAGAAAGACTGATTTCTGTCTGATAAAGACCTCCATTTAGTGTCAGTTATGATAGCACTTGTAGTAACAGAGTTCATAGCATATTGCTTCTGAAATAAATGGAAACTGATACCTAAAGAGCTTAAAACACAGGGTTGGTTATGAGATACTTGGCAAAGTACATCTACTCTTATTTACCCAGAGATTTGACAGTATTCTCACTGTATGTGTATATATACAGAGATGTTGTGAAGTGTCATTCATATATTTTGAAATAACTGAAAGTGTTTGATATCCAAGTACTTTTTTTTTAAAACAAAAAGTAAGTTTAGATTGTCAGCATGAGTGACATACAGGAATTTAAGTCCATCTGTTTCACCTAAGACATACCTCTAGGTCTACTACCAAGCCAGGCTGGCACAGCTGTGTCTCAAAACTCAGAGAGTGAAGTTCTTCTGTTACAATGAGAGGACCCTTTAAAGAAAAAAAAAAAAGTATGAAAAAAGAAAATGTTTCAGGGACTGAAAATTGCCGGGGGGGAAGGTAAGGAGATTTATCATGGGGAGAAACCTTTTTTGCCCAAGGTTACTTGCTCTGGACCTCAGAAACAGTTTACAGGTCCAAGTCAAGTGACATTGCTAACTTCCTAAAACTGCCTGTTAGAATGGGTACTCTCTAGGCACTATTTTTTTGGCTCCTACCCTGAAGCCACAGAAAAATCTGTCCTTACCAGAAAGTCTTGTTAAAGCTAGGTACCAAGGAGGGAGAGTCCAGAGGGACACCACTCTGGCACTAGTTCTCATTTGTAGACGCGTCCTACATGGATTGTTTCCTAGAAACACTGAACTCCTCTCCTAGAGATCTGTCATCCTGTGTGTTTCTTTATGGCACTGAGCAGAGCATTGTCTTAAATGCCTGAATGTCTTACACAATGTATTGTGTATTACACAAAGGCTTTACAAACAAGGTTAGTGCTGCTTACCTCATTTGTTCTGTTTCCTGCATTTTTCTGTTCTTTCAGTTGCTGCAAATGAACAAAAAAACCCCTGTCATTCATTTACCTTGGCCAGAAATGAAAGTGGTAGGGGATGCAAATAGTTTGCATGCTCTAGCTGCTCAACTGTACGCAAACTTGCTGCACTAGTGTCTGATTCTATTTGGTTCTAAGCTATGGAAGCCAAAAGGTTAAGCTATAGGTAACTATTACTCTGTTACAGACCATTCACCTGGGAAAATAGATATTGCACGCTTATGATCTAATGCCTTTAGGTAAGAGGCCTTATAAGAACAGAAGCAGCATGAAATCAGGAAGGATCAGATGAAATACTGGTTTATCAAAGTACCCCTCTGAACTGGAAAATAAACTCCAGACAGTGTCTATTCTGGACAATGAAGGGAGGAAGGGAGAATTCCATGTTCACTGGTTCAGGACTTGCATCTTTCCTTTCCTGTTGTAATGATGAAACCCATCTGATTTATCTCACAATCTGCAGATCAAAAGTGTTGTATAGTCTGCTGAAGGCACTGAATTTCTTGTAGCTGTCCTCTCCTAGACCATTTTCCTCTTCCAGTTTCAAAGGTCTTTAGACTACTCCAAGCTTTCCTACCTATGAATCTTCATCTGAAAGGCCCAAAACAACATTTCTAGGCTTCTTTTTTTCTTTCTCCTCCAAAGAACTCATTGCAACATAAGCTGTATGGCAGCAAATACTCTTGTTTGCCTTTCTGGCCCTATTTCAGTGACAAAAGCAACAGCATTTCAATTGAAACAGGCCAAAGATTTCAAAAGGGAAGGAACAAAGAAAAAGGAGAGATGTTCACAGTTCCTCTTGTACAAACGTAAACAATGACTTCAATAACAAAAGAAACTTGTCTCCTTCCTACCACACCCTCTACCCACACTGTTACATGAATGTGTCAATAAAAGGAGAAAAAAAAAAAAACCCTACCAAGTGCCTGAATTCTGCTGCTAGACTTCCATTAGTAGATTCTTCCATGTTCATTACTTTTGTGTTTGTTCCCAAAATATTAAACTTCCTGAACCTTCAGAGAGAGAGAAAAGAATTAAGAGTCTCGGATTCATTGAAAGAACCCAATATGAAATATACCAAACTGTAATACCACATACCCTTTGACTGAGTTCTTCTCACTTACATCTCTGTCAAAAAAAAAAAAAGACAAAATAAAAATCTTCTAAAGGTTCTGCCACAGACACAGAAAATGTGGGTGTTTGTTTTAGTAGCTGACTGAGAACTGGTAAAATGCTTCTGTGAAATCTTTTGTGTAAAAGAGAAGGCAATTGGTTCAAGCAGTTGAAATAAATATTGTGGTACACAGGCTATCTTTTACTGAGGCGTAAATTTTGCGGGGCTTTATAATCAAAGCAAGTCCTTTTACTACATAGGCTTTAACTCTTGCTCTGAGGAAAAAAAACACATAGTGCTGTCATTCTAAATCTGCTTTCAAACCATACAACTTCTTGAATAAATTGCTGTATCACTTGAATTGGTTTTCCTACCACTCTGAATGTTACTAAGTTGCATTATCTGGTGTACTTCTCAAAGCCTCAGCTCTGACATCCATGTAAGAATTTCTTTTCCCTTCCCCCATGCCATGCAAGTTTCTGGACCCCAGAGCTGTTTCAAGTGAACAGAATGCTCCCTAAACACTCGAATGGAAAGACAAAACTCATCTGCTTTCTTAGCAGCACAGCCCCCTTTCATGACCTTACAGCTACCGCTGTTATTTTGGAGAGCCTGTTACTTTTCTTTCCCTGCCCTTAAAGCAAATGCTGAGGCCTTCTATACTTTTGTGACATGTCTCTAAAGGCAGAGAGAAATTTAGAGCAAGGGCACAGGTATGAAAAAGGGAGGCTGTACCTGCTGCCATGGAGAACCAGCCTGCTCCTGGCCAACTCAACCCTTAAAATATGTCTGCCTTTTGGATTTCTGAATATGGGGACTGCTTACTATTAACATATGCAAGGATGAGAAAAATGCAACGTACTTATCAAATAAAACTTTCACTTTCAAGTTGTAGTTCAACTCCTGCAATTTCACCAGCAATCTGGAAAAAGAAATTTAAAAAAAAAAATTACTCCAATTGCAAAAGATAGGTTCTCTTCTATTGCACTGCTTATCACAGGTATATTTAAGCTGCACAACTCAGGGCCACACAGGCTCCAAGCTTGCTCCGCACAAGATAGCACAGATGCAGTGACAGGATAAACTAGCAAGGTCTGTAGACACTGATTCCATGTTATCATTTAGAGAGGAAACTAGATGGGCAAATGAGTTATTCTTTTGCATGACAAAGTGGTCTGCATGTGTCTGTTCTGCTGTTTGGTTGTGTTTCTTGTACACTCAATACCCCCCACTTCTGGTAAAGGGTAAAAGCTAAATGGAAGTTAAACTTTGCTAGAAGACAACCCCCTGCCATAGGGCACTTTCTTCCTCCTTACCTCAGTACTTAGGCTATACTGTAAGATGTGCAATCCTCTCAGCTGTAGGAAGCCAATGACATTAAAAGCTTACCACAAAACAAGAAGGGGGAAGAGGAAAACATACCTCAGCTTTACTGTAAACTGGACTCCTGTCTTCAGGACTAACGGCCTCTGAGGATGTGTTGGCATGCAAGGCTGCCTCTCTACCACAAAGGAGCTATGGAAAGAACAGATTAAAGGCACTTTGATTTATCAATGTTGTCTTTAAGGAATAAGAGATTACGTAAAAAGTGAACTTTAAAAGAATGGTGATTTACCAGTAGTACTGTACACTTTATTCATTCAGTTTCAATCTGTACAGAGGTCTGTGTGTTGGTTTCTTTCACTTGTATTGATGGGGCTAGAAATATTGCAAGTATGAAGTGATTTCATAAGGTTTGGCTTTTCCTAAATACATTGATCGCTTGGGGAGGGAGAGTGCTACTTCAAACTTCCCTGAAATCAAACAGCATGTGAACACTGTGACATAACTAGCATAATCCAAGTGAGGAGTGTTGCTTTGTTTGCCATTTCCAGTGCTTGCTGAATTCTTACGGTTCAGTGCTGTGAGATGGTGCTATGTAACAACACATAGAGCCCAAGAGCTAGATAAACTAGCTGGGGATTTGATGAGGGCTAGTTAATGACATGAAGCAAACTCCTGAGGCTAGCCTGTTCTGATGCACCCCAAACTTGGCATCTTGGGCATCTTTTGTGTAGCGTTGTGCTGCGTAGGCACAAATCCTTAAGTATTTCTATTGTTACCAAATCCTAGGCAGCACAGAGACTTTTCCTTCCACTATACTCACAGGCAAGTTAACTAAACAGCAGCTGGGCTTCTGCAGCTGGGCTTCTACAGCTCTTCCTTGTTACCTTCACTTCATTAAAAAGCAGTACCTGTGTTTTCCAATTGAAGATTAGTGGTCAAAGCATCTGAATGGAACTCTGAAAATCTTGGGCTCTAGCCCCGCCATACAGGGTGTTACCTACTATATCTAAGCCCCTGCTCTTATCTGCTAGTTTCAAGCTTTCCGCAGCATGAATTTTTGTCTACTATATATTTACAGAATGGGACTCTGATCTTATGTGGGGCAACTACCAGCTACAGTAACTTCTTTCATAGAGATGGCACAGAGATAGGGTTGGCCTCTCTATGCTGGGGACAAATAGGATGTGTCCAGAGACAAAGGATTGGAGAATCTAGTGTGTATTTATCTTGGTGCAGATGGTTTCTTGCTTCCATTTACTTGAACTTTGCAGGGCTGAAGCTTAAAGCAAGAAATGGACTAACAGACTAGGAGCTTGATTCTGTAACCAATGCATACTGTAGCATAGCTCCTGCTAACTTAAATGATGACTGATCACAAACCCTTTCCATGGGCTAAACCTGTGGAAACCCTAGATAGGGTAAATCTTAAAACCAGTCATTTAGTCTAATGTTTGTGACAAACTTAGGAAAACCTCAGAAAATGGAAAGTTAGCATGCAGGAAATAGAGGGAACAGAAGCGAAGGTGCTCTCCACCCATTTATTCATACAAACACAAAAAGACCCTTCTTGCTGGTTACCTCTGGATGAGTTGTCTGAAAAGACTGTATGTTCGGTCCTGCAGAACTTGTTTATTTTTTGTGATGGGATCAGGATCATAGGTAAACTTCTGTTCCAGTTCCTCAAGTTTTTTGAGCTGCTGACGAACTTGCTGTAGACTTTCAGCGACAATGGTGAACCTACAATTACACAGTCTTATTACTTTTAGCATGTTTTTGTATTGTAATAATGCTGACACACCAGCCAGGTGACTGTCCCTAAGGACTAGGCAGTGCACAGAGAACATTTCTTGCTCACTGGAAATGTGGTGAGGTAATAAAATCAATGAAATGTAGTTATCCTGTGACAGAATGAAAAAGCATAACTTAAATAATCAGTGTACTTCACAGATCTGGTGTTTCCTCATAATACACTTCAATTTCCTGTCCAATGCAGTATTTGACTAAAGACTTACCAGTTCTGTAGCTGGTCAAGACAAGCGTTGGGTGGGCCACCAATGCATGCAGTCTGTTGCCTGTGTTTCCACTCCACCAGCTCCTCATTAATAAGAGCGCTCTGTGTGTGCTCTGTGGTGTTCAGCAGCTGTACTATCTTGTTCACCACTTCCTATAGAGAATATTAAATTACCCTGTTTATTAAAAATACTTCATACAGGAAAACTAAGTACTGTTTTAGCTAATGCTATCTGTCTTGCAAAACTCTGCCAGGACCTCAGAGTAATAGTTTCTGTCAACAGAGGGTGTTTTCTAAAAACATCTGCTTCTTTTTAGCTGGAGTATTTGCTAGATTAAGTGGAGAAACAATGGAGAAACACAGCATATTCACTATTGCTGAATTCCGAAGAGCCAGTGTCTCACAATCCATGTATGTCCCAAGTGTCTATCTGGGATGACCCAGTGCTTGCTGTAGATTTGAGCACTGCAACAAGAGTGAGCACACTTAACTTGAATATAGCTGCAAATTTTTTAATCACCGTTTTCCTCAAGAACATGACAACTGATATGACACCTTTTCCCTCTCGTTGTTCTTTTAGCTTTACCTGATAGAGGTTGCTAGAAGAGAAATAAAATTGCTTACAGAGATTCTAGATTTTCTAGATGGAAAGAATGAAATCTTAGTTCAACTGATAGTAGCAGAAAAGTTTTCTTTTACATAATTTGTATGTCAACCTAATGAAAATATGTTCAAAACAAAGCGCTGTTGCCTTCCGAAAGAAAACTTGAACACTACCTTTCTCTTGAGGTCAAGTGACAAAAACATCTTCTTGAGATTCATCTGTTCTTTCTTGTATTCCTCCTGTGACATACCATTGGACTCATGCTCTGTAAAATAAGTCGAAATTGTGAAGGTGAGGCTGAAGGAGTGCTGAAGTATGAGTGGGGGAAACACTGGGGGGAGGAGGGGACCTGTCTGGCTAATGTCAAGTATATCTTTAAAGCTTAAGGGAGAAAATACTTACTGCCTCCTAGATTGTTTTTTTGATTCCTCCTTTCCCCCTTCTGAAAGGACAGAGTCTACACTTAAAGCGCTAATGCAAGGAAAAGCCACTATCCCAGTGAAGTAATTGAGATCTGAGTTTGCTGCTTTTTAGAGCAAGAACCTGATTTAAAATAACAATTGTATTGTGTAAAGATACACACTGAGCAATTTGTTCTCGTGCTGACTTCAGACACGAATCATTCCTGTTACATGGCAACAGAAGCTAACAGTTATTTCAAGGGAGGATGTTTACAGCCTCCTGAGGGCAGCCCAGGCTGACAGATCCTATGCAGTCGCCCTAGCTACTACCTCTGCTGCCTAGTGACCTTAAGTTAGAGGTTCCTGTCTGCCTCACGGAAGCCCTACCTGTCCCCAAGCAAAAAGAGCAAGATCGTGGCTCAGTGCTCCCCTTAGTATCTTCTGAACATGTCCCCCTTCTGAGGGACAGTCAACTGCCAATTTGTGTTGGAAACAGAAGCCTCTTCTAGAACAAAGTAGTCAAAAGGAGAGACAGATCTGTATAATGAAACCAGTGTGGGCTACAGCTGCATGTGCTTCCCTCAGTACACAAGAGCCTACAAAACTCGGAGCAGGAAGGCATTTGTCAAACAGAAGATGGCAAAGAGAAGCCTAAACTTAACTATTTAGGTGTAGGGCTGAATGGTCACAGGTCTACAGGGTTTGGTATTTCTAGCAGCAAAGGGTTGTAAAAGACAAAGGAATGCTGTGTTAACAAAGAGGCTCTCTTGCCTGTAAGAACAGACAGATGCAGAGAATGCATTTTGGGGAATTTAGGTTTCAGCATAAAGCAGAATGAATGAAGGAGGAACACTATCAAAGCAGAATTAATAAAGGAGGGACATTACCAGTAACTTTGGCTGCATACTGTTAAGTTTAGTTACCTAAGACAGCAGAATTTACTCTTATAAACTATATGCAATAGGGTGTGTTCTTGATAAATTACCTCTGTTCTGCAAGGTTTTACATTTAAAGTCGTATTCATCTTGCATATCCTCTAATGTCTTGATGTCTTGCTCCACGTCCTATAAAGCACAAATGAAGGTAGCCACAATTATTCAATACTTTCATGTAATGCAAGACTACTTCTGATTAGGAACTACCTGGTACCAGCCCTTTACAGAGATGAAGCAATGCCTTTTCCTGCAACTCCCTAACAGGAAATATCCCTGAACTTAACTGCCTTCTATTCAGTCTCCCTCCCTCTTCTCAGCTAACTAAAATCTGTTTATTATAAAATATGGAAAAGTCCTCATCGTCTAGCCATATTGGTTCACAGAGTTTAGGAGAACCTCGGCTACAGTAGAAAAACTTGGAACACCACACAGCATTTCAAACAAACTTTTAAATTCTTTGGTACTGCTTGGAGAAAAGCTTTCTGTCATGACAGTATTTGTTAAGACAATAAACATCTATATGCTAAATGAAAATCTATCTTCTAGTTAACAACAAATTGGTCAGTATATGATTTCTTAAGAGTTTTTCCTCAGCTGCTAGTATTTCAGATGGGTAAAATGTTTTTGTTGCGAAAACTTAGGCACAAGAAATTTGATCTTGCTAAACCAGTCAAATCCCAAATCTGTATTACGGTGCTACTGACTAATAATTACTTTCTATTTTCAGACAATCACTGGTTATAGACTTGAAAACCAAACCATTACCTTATTTTTATTTGTCATTTTAGCAAGTCTTATGTACTGAAAGCTTTTCAATACAACAACAAACACTACTTGAAATAGTTCTATACTTACTATAACACTGTTTTTTACAGCCTTAACTTTCGCATCAAGCTCCTTCTGTTTGTCCAGCATCCCAATCACAGTGTTCTGTATGCCCCCCACTTCCATCTGAGGGAAGCAAGCAGAACAACAACAGAAGTCAAACCAGAGTGACCCATGAGACAGCAAATACTCTTTTTGTTAACATAAGCTAGTGACTTTTGTTGACAAACGACCTGATGAAGCATGACTTGTTCTGATCAATCGTACTAAGGTTTTATAATATGAAATTGAGTTCAGGTGAATTTGCAAGAAACAAAGGAGAATTAAAAATGCCTGTTGTGTAGTGATGCTGCATTTTTTTCCGTCATAGCAATATAAAGCTATAAACATATTCTGTTTTCTCTCTGCATAAATCCATTCTTTTGTTTGCTTATCTTCATGTATCTTCTAAATGTATGTCAAGAAAACAACAACCCTGAAGGTTGGATGACATCTACATCAAGTATTATACTCATCCATACAGGATATGGGGAGAAATGGGCTAAGAGCAAGAACAAGACAGGTCTTGTTTGTGTACAGGCAAATGGGGTAACTTGGCATGCAATTTCTTCCCTACAGGGCATTCAAGCACATTTTAGATCTCTGTATGGTTTCTTTGAAAGCTGACCTTAATATCATTCAGGAAGTTTATTGCATGATGTCACTCAGGGAGAGTTGCAGTAATTTGAAAGACAGGGTTTTTATTCCACACATTAACAGTACTACTGGTGTTAAAACTTGCTGTTCCTCCAATGTGGGACAGTCAGGTATGCATTGTTGCTCTGACTAATGCTTCAGCTAAGGTCATCTTAAAGTACTTATTTTGGTAAACTGCCAAAGGTCCTCCATCATAGACTTAAGTCAGACGATTAAAGCAATCTGAGCATACCCTAACATTTGGGATTCTCCTTTGGTTTTTAGGATGCTTATAATTGTGCTTGCTCTGCATTTTATCTTGTCAGCTTTGGGAAATGAGAATATTTACCAGAAAGCACAGGTAGGGAATGGTGTTGTACTTAGTGCCAACAGTATGTATAGGAGGACTTACTTCCCTTTTTGAGGACCCAGATATATTGCTGGAAAGGCAGTTGAGTGCTTTGTCATGTGCCAGAACAGAAACTGAACAGCTGTGCTGCAACTACAAGGGCTCTGTCAGAGTCACATTTTCAGAGGAGCTGTTTTGGACACAGTTGCATTAGGCCCTTTGTTGAAACCCTATGCCTGAGTACTCTTCCCACTCTACCAGCATTCAAAAACTTGCCCTAAAGGGAAGTATTTCAGTATCAGAACTTAACATGCTTGGTCACTCATCACGTTATTATGCAAATGGATTACATCTAGCTATACAGTTTGCATGCCTTTCCCAACTGCAGATTATTTTAACTGCAAAACTGTTCTCCTTGCAAAGGAAAAAACAAAAAGATGAAAAGTCAGAGAACAGATGAGGAAGTAGAAGAATACAGCTTTACCTATCGTTCAGAGGAAAAAAAATAGGCTTCACTTAAAAAACAAAAATAGAAAAATACTTGGAGATAGCTGGGAAAGAGAATGATGCATCATTTTCCCAGAGAGACAGTCCAGAGAAGCAACAAGGCTCAGCTGCTTAATACAGAGTTAATTCAGGAGTAAAACGCAGAAGAAAAAAGCTAAAATCTTGCTGGAGAAATAAGGCAAGCATTAACTATTAAATTGTAATAAAATCTGATAAGCATATCGGGCAGTACTATAGAAGCATTAAAAAAACAGCATAGGTTTTATATCACTCAAGGAATAAAAATTACTTCTTGGCCATTTCCCCTCCAAATGCTTCATATAGTACAAACAAGCCACACTGTCCAGCTGGTACATATCAGTGTTCACTCTTAAAGACAGAAGAAACATGTTGTTGGATAGGGAGAGGACAGCGTGTTTCCTCTCTGTCGTCTTCCACTCTTTCTGTCCCAAATAATAGGAAAGGGTAGATACAACTACAGTAGATGTTCCAAGACTGTTACCTGATTTGACAACTGGGCACTGCGCAGTATTTTCCTCTCTTCTTTCAGACAGTTGTAGATGATCATTGCCATGTGTATTGGGTCTTCTTGGAAGTTATCCTGGCATTAGAGACAGTCTATTGTTAAAGTTCATACCCATAATTTCCTGTCCTTCATTAAACCGATTGGCAAAAAGATTAGTGGGTGACTCTGTGTGAGCCTCGGGGTACATGTTGGTCATAGCATGCTCCAAGGCTACAGGGAGTGTGACAGCTGCAACCATCGCCAAGAATGAGTTTCTATTGCAGTTCATTAGTGTACAAAGCAACGGGCCTCAGCACAAAACAACAGGAAAGGGTCAGAGACATTACTGGAAGAAGTGAGATACTACCCTACAGTGCTAGAGAGCTCTCCTCTCTTCAGAGCCACCCTCCCACAGCTTTGAAGTATAGCTGCTGTTTTTGAGGGGTGATTGTTCTAGTTTGACGGGTACAGCTCTTGCTCAGTGATGTAAAGGAGATACGTTAGTTGCTATTTATGAATACGCAGTCAAGGCCAGATACAAATTCAACCTTACTGTTTTAAACACATACAAAGTTGAAACATGCTCTGGATTGAGTACTGCCCTGCTCTGCCCAGGATGGTGCTGCCCTGGGAGGTAACTGAGCTGTACCAGCCTTCTCGACTCATCTTTCATTGCCGATCTATAGTTACTATCGGGTAAGTACAGCCTGGTCATGCTCTCCTCAGAAAACAGTCCCCTAGTCCCCAACTGGTGGTGAGGAGAAGCTAGATTTGTGGGCAATAGGCTGCGGAGAAGGTGACTCTATGGAAGATCCTCTGGCATAGAGCCCTGCAGGGAGGAGGGGAGGACTGACTAACAAAAGTAATTAAGTCCACTAAGGATATGTTCTGCACTGCCACTCACTACCAATTGCTTTAGCCCTTTGCGATTAACTGTAGTTCTGCCATGACATGGGAAGGATTTCTTCCCCTGTGTTTCTTCTGCATCAGAAGCTTTAGTACACTGAGGAAACCGGCTGGGGAAGGTGTGGGGTAAGTGAAACTACATTTGAGTAAGCGCTCCAAATACATAAACACCTTATAAACTACAACTTTTTTCCTAGAGCTCTCAGAAACTGTAACTTTCTAACTGTAGCAAATTAAACCAAAAACAGAGCAACATTTGAATTCTGGCTTTTAAATTAGGATTCTCACACATTCTCTGCAAAAATCCCTCATGGCAGGGCAGTTTGCTTAGACGCATCCAATTGTACTACTGAAGCAATTCAAGCAAATGTATAGCCATATAGCAAATGTATAGCCCAGGCGTACCTGAAGATTACGTTTGCTTTTCCTTATGTTGTGTTGCAGCAAAAAGTTGTTTTCTATCAAGAATCTACTAAATTGATCGTCAAGCTGTGACAGCAGGTCATGGAATAACACCGTAGCAAAAGATACGTTGTTGGCTGCATGTTCCCTAGAATAATTTAAGGCATGCTTGTGTCAAATACATTTTCAATACGGCATTCAAGAAATGCATACAGGAGTACTTATTTTTAATCCCCAATTCCAGTTGTAGCATACGCAAGCAGTAAGAATTACCTTCAAGCATAAACCAGTTTCATTCTCTCAAGTTTACTTTCCTTGATACAGAAATGTTGTTTTTTCTCTGTAATATTCTTGCCACATGCACATCAAGAAGCTAAAAGTGAACCTGATGCATGTGCATGTTGTACCAGTCTTCTAAAAGAAGATACTCCACGGAAATCTTGGCAAAAGTTCAAAGTCTGTGAACAGCAAGAGACTAAGCTGCCGAGGTAGTAACTGATCGGTCTTAAATCAGCTGCTTTTCTTACAGACCAACCGAGGGAAATATGAGATAGTACACTTGTTACTCTAGGTGTCAGGCCCCTCTAGAAAGCCCTGAAGAGGGGCAGGAATACAGGCTATAGCACCCACAGAGCACTGAAGTGTGCTGCCAGCAAATGTTCACCTAGCAGCCTGCTTCCCTGGTATTCTGCCGGTAACAGCACGTATGAGAGCGTTGCTCATCACACAACCTGAAGGCCAATTTCTATGCTTACCAATCCTGGTTTTCCAGCCACTGTGCCAGGTACTGCCTGATCTCCATAGGAAAGCTGTCATCGTATAGCTGGTGAACTTGCTCCAAAAACTTGGAATCAAGTTGCTGTAGCTGATACCACTGAGTCATCCTGAGGCAGGGGGGGGAAAAAAAAAAAACCCACAGTATAAATGTTTAAGTAGTATTTGGACTGAACTGGTGAAAAGTAACCAATTTGAAATTTTCATGAACATTGGCAAAATTGGAGAGTAGGAAGGAAAAGTGTTTCCAGCAAACAAAACCATTTTATTTTCAGCTGTAACAGTTTCAGAAAGCTAGTCATTAAAACTGAATAAAAGTTCTTCTGTGCTTGTTTTAATTTGCATTTTTAAATTTTTTTTTAAATTAAGACAGTGTACTCTTTTGTGAAAAAATAACTCTAAGCTAAATCATCCTTCCCTATGAAAACTTTTTCTTTGAACCCCTTTTCACAGCATTTAGGGTACTGGTAGTGCTACCATGCTCTTGCTTAGTAGGGATGTGGGAATGAGGACCTGTGTGTTTGATACCTGTACTCTGCGGGATCAAGATCCTACCTGTGGCGTTTTACCTTTTCTTGGTGCAGATGTGTACTCCCCATCACCAAGAATGTGAGTGGGAAATCAAAGAAACCTCTGGGGGCCAATTTTTGGATGCTATCTGTGCCCCCACTTGCCTGCTCTGAAAACGTCTAGATCTTGTCACTTTAAATGGAGAAGTATTGGAAAGATGTTTTTTCTACTACATGTTTTAGTTCCCATGATCAAATTGTCAGGCTAAATTCAAGTAATCTGTGCAGCAGACACAAGTTACTTAAAATGAACTGATATGACTGAGAGAAGCTACGCTGTACAATAACATTTCTATAACAGAGTGGCTGATATATGTTCCGATATATGGTCTCTGCAGACCTGTTGCTGTCTCCTCACTGGGCTGCAGGTTACTGTTTCATAGTGGAAATGGCATGTAAAGATATGCCCAAGGAACAGTCCAGGCTGAGAACATGGGTGGTGAGATGCAAGTCCACTTGCATCTACAATTTAAAAAAAAAAAAGTGATAGTCCTTCACCCTGATGCTGCCCTGTTACTTAAGATAGGTCCTATTTTATACATGGCTTCCTGCCAAATCCTGTTATTGTTTGTATGCCAGTTCCCTCAGCTGCTGAGTGGCATATGCTGTGTGAGAAGCAAATGAGAGTTAAAAATGCTATTATGTTTGAAGTGAGGGCTTTGAGGATTTTGATGCGCGTGGGATCCAGATTACAGGTAACGCAGCATTTGAGTATCCTGTAGCGGCACCAAGAAAAACAGTTAAACGTGACACTAGTGAGGAAAGCTGGAAGAACTTTGTCTAAATGCATGAAGTGCATTTGTGTGTGTGTGTGGGGGGGGGGGGGTGTTCCCCCCTCCTGGTGCTTAAATGAAGATAAGATTTACTCAATTTTCCTGTGTCTTAAAGCAACCACACTGGGAAAATGACTTAGTTCTCTGCCACTGCTCCTAAAGAGATGGTTACAGAGCAATATAATAACCCAGCAAATGCAGTCCTTGAGGATGCAAGCAGGGAAACGCTGAAAAAGTGGGAAGTCGGCACCTTTTGCGGAAAAAGCGTTAGAGAGATGGATCCTGGGCTCAGCCTGCCACTGACGAACTGACAAGCGAAGCGGGGTAGGATGGAAAATCCCTTTTGCCGTTCTGCCTTTCCTTGGGTAAGGGCAGTTAAGATCGCAGTCTTGCGAAAGCCATTCGCAGCTGTGCGGGT